TGGACTCCCCCCCCCTCCCCTTCCTTTTTTGGGTACTCCTCCTCAAATTTTTCTTGGACTCTCCTCCCCTTTTTCGAGGACTCTCGAAACTGCAGCCTGGCCTTTGTTGAAGTTCTTCACATTTTACGTTTCTTTGTTTGAAGTAAAGTTATTTCTAAACAAGCTAAACACGTACTCTGAAATCCGTCTCTTTTTGCTCCAAAATGATGAATTCCAAAATCTGAACCTTTTTTATAAATCTGTAAATATTCCGTATGGAGAGTGAAGTTTTTATCCTGCCTGTCTCCGGCTTAGGTTAGCGAACTCTGCAGTGGGACATATAAAACTGTGTTAAAAACAGAAGATTGTTGAACTCAAGTTATGTTGTTTAAGAGTACAATGTACAGAAACACAGCAAATGTGCAGTGTGCACAGACCCAGTTCACTAAATACATAATTTGTTTTTCGACCTTTGGTAAAACTGTTTGATTTATAACGACACCAAAAAAAATAAGATAGCTTTAATGTCGTTTTCCTATTTCACAGTTTTATGAGTCTCACTGTATAAAATATAGAAAGTCAATCTCAATCAATTCTTGTATTTCAATTGACTCTCCGGTTAGAGGGAAATGCCCTATTCTCATCAATGTTGAAAAAATTTTCTTGCGTGAAAAGTGTTTAATTCTTCCAATTTACTCCACTGTTTAAATTTGTAATTAGTAATCCGCAAGGCACTTTTATAGAGAAGCTACAAATGAAAATAACTATAATTTTATGATTCTTGATTGGAAAAAGTTTTAAGGTTTCCTGTTTTGAATCAGTCATGTCACTATACATATTACATACATATTGAGGTTCGCTTGAAATATTGTTACAGTCACTTTAAAAACAAACTGTCACAACTTTTCTTTAAAAAATTATATGTTACGTTGTTTTCAAATTTGTATTTGAAATTACCAGATAATTCCATTTTTGAAAAATATATACAAAATTATTTAAATATTCAAAATCACATTTACTTTTAATAAGTTAGACTTGTGAGTCAGGTCTGAATTTAATGAATTGAAGAGGTGGCTGAACTACCTAATACCAGTTCAAATCCTAATGATTCGTTAACTTTGAATCGGTGATTCAAGATTTGAACCAGTGGTATAGATATATCAGCGACCTCTCTCCAATTCATTAAATTANTGAATAAATGAATAAATGAATAAATCAATAAATGAATAAATGAATAAATGAATAATTAAATAGATTATTAAATTAATAAATGAATAAATGAATAAATGAATAGGATGATATGAGTTGGCTTGATGAATCTGAAACAGATGAATTATGCAGAAGAATACAATTATTTGCGAGGTATGTAAGTGAGCCATGGATGAATTTATTCATCCATGATGATGTAATCACTTTGTTGTAAACGCTGATGCCGAAACTCATCTATGTGTGTAAGCAATATAATTCGCAATCGTCTATTCCTGACATAAAAATCTGATATTTAATGTGAAACAATTTTTTATTGATTCAAGTTGATTCTTTATTCTTTTTTTTCGACAATTTAACTAGCGTATTCTAAAAGCAACCTTGTCCGTTGCTCCTTTTGACCGGGGTTCTTCCAGAAAACAGCGCAAACATATCTTAGGGCCGCTTCAAGAGGAAAAGCGATTGCGGATTTTCTTTTTAAATTTTGAATATTTACCTGTCACATTTATTATAAACATTTGAGTTTGAATTTATTTAACGATAATTTTTAACTAGAAATGAGACCAGCTCCTTTAAAACGTTGATTCAATACAGAACAAGGTAATAAAAGTTTTTTAATTAAAAATTAATTTAAAAATACTTTTTTACTAAACATTTTTGTTTATAGCGCTCTGACACAGCTTTGGCGTGCCAAACAAAAGTGGAGAGAGTTGGAGAAAAGTTGCAGTGCAGAGGAAACAACTGGCAGAAAGAGTTATGGAAACTCACCAACAGATGGCTCTAGCTCATTCTCTTCCAAACTCAGTCTCATGCTTATATTTCCTCTTATTGAATCCCAAGCAAGGTAGGTTTTTGCACACTAGAATCCGTTTTGACTTTTACTCTCTGCAACGCTTGCTCTAGCTGATTAAAAGTCGGCCTGGTACTTGAATTGAACCAGAGTTTTCAGTGTGCAGAGTGTTTGGACGATTTTTGAAATTCAACGGCAAAAACCATTTGAGGAACAATTTTCACATTTAGAATTGAGAAAAGCATTTGACTGAATAAATTTGTTTGTCAAATATTTAAATTCCAATGCAAGGGAAGATTTGTACAAAGTAATTAAATTTTATTTTTATTATGAAAATTTCGAAGCTCTTACTGAAGACAACTTTTACATGGGTCTTGAGTCTATTTTTTCTAGTCTTTACTTTCCAAACGAAATCTTTTCATGCAATTATTTCCAAACCAAATAAAACCTTATGGCCCAACCTGTCGTCGTTGCCTTAGTCTGTTCCACTTTAGTATTTATACACTTTGAGATTTGCATGCTAAATCGGAAAAGAGAATTTCCCGCAAAAGTATCAGAATCTTTATGAATAATTTTTCACATCTTATCAACCATATTTACCCNTGAGTTTGAAATATCAAAGTTTTACACTATCCAGTTGCAGAGATTTTGGGTTTAACAAATCTGAGTTTGTGACAAAAACTCATTTCCTTAGCAAAAATCCAAATATTTATTGGGAAATATAGCTATTAAGCAAAAAAATGCTCAAATTGCAACAAATTATACACTTCTGAAAAGCCCTTGACCCAGTGAATTCAAATGTCCAAAAACATTTGAAAAATTTTGAAAACCTAAATGTGTATTCAAGGAAAACTGAGAATGTGAAAATTCCCTTTAAAGGCGTCTGTGCTAAGGTTTAAAGGGTATCGTTGTGACTTTTGAGCCGAACAGAAGCCACCCATATGGAGGGTTGTTAACAAATAGGGTTTCCAGGGAAAGCCTTTTTTTTGAAAAAATAAACTTAGCGAAAAGAATTTTGCATTTTTTTGGTTAAATTTTGCATTTTCCGCGAAGTTTACACAATTTTCTTTTTCGCAAAACAGATTAACGAATAATTTTGTGAAAAATGAAAATTTTCGCATTTCTTTCTAAACGAAGGACGAAAAAATGGCCACTTTTTTTTGCGAAACAAAAATGCGAAATTTTAAAAAAACGATTTTTCCAATTGGTTGGAAACCCTACTAACAACTCATGTCTTTAGTCCCTTTCTAAGTAACATAACCACCCATGTGGCTATGCATGAAGAGAATAATATAATTTATATATTTAGACTTGACCCTGGTCTCTGTGGTATAACAACAACCATCCTACTGCAGAGTTTAAGGGAGTGTCCCCCACTTTCTCTCCGGGAACCGGCAGATTGTCTGACTGGCCTAGGTAAGATAAGAGACCCCATTTTTAGTTCGTTTTTATCATTTGTTTTTCATTAATGAGGCTCAACACTCAACAGCTATAATCTGAAAAATTCTAATATTTGAAAATTATGTCATTTTTACATTTTTTACTCATCTTGCAATAGCAATTTAAAGACATTAACCAAAACGATAAATCATTTAACCAATACTTTTTTCAGTTTTTAGTTTTCATTTTTTAAACTTATATCTTCTGTAGGAGTAAGAATTAAGCACAATTAGAAAAACATAAAAAATAACCTTTAATATGAATATAGGTAACTTGGTAGAGTAATAACTTAAAGATTAAAAAGTTAATTCAATATTATGTCCAATAGGGTTCAAAGTTTTTTGTATAAATGATACACTTCGGAAAATGTATTTGTGAAGATTTTGAGGCTTAGATCTTCCAATCCTTAATTGTACATCTTGGGTTATTTAGTGGATAACCCATCTATTGACTTTTGCTTTTCTGCATTACAAACTTTTTACTAAACATTTTTTTCATAATTAATTTTTTTTTTCAGAGAATTTACTGTGTCGTTGGTTGGGTGAAGATAGTTCTGGGATAGTTAGGTATGTATTCTAGAGGGTGTCCCAATAAACATGGGAATTAAGCGACGCATTCAAAATCGTCTTTGTTAAGAATTAGCGTTGTACATTTATTTAAACGTACAAGGGCTGTTTTGTTATTCTGCAAAACGTTGTATGATGTTCTGTAACATTTATGCAAGATTAAACAGTGAAAAGGAATTACTGTAACATAATTTCTCATTTTACTACAGTACACAAGTATGCAATCAAAATATAAACGATAAAAATGTCATTTACATTGACAATTAAAAAAAATTTCATTTAATTCTCATGTTTCTAGGGACATCCTGTAGATGATCATATATTTAATTTGTCTTTTGACTTGTTTATATGTCTCCAATAAACTTCAAAACATGATAACCAATCAGGCCTAATTTTTTATCTGTAATATCTGAAAAATCCGCCAATGAAAATTAAAATCTGCGAAAATGTTTAGATTTTTAAGTAAAAAATTATGGCATACAAGAAACATTTAAGACCTAAAATCAAAGGGTTCAACCTGAAAGCCCAGTTATATGTTTATATTAAAATTAGTGAATACTTTTTTCTCATATAATTTTATTGTTCCCGGGTTTAATTTACTTTTTAATTTAATCAGGCTTTCATCCAGTGAGCCCAGCGATGAGATTGTGCTGCCTGCTGCCTGCCTGGTGGCCCTGGCCTGTGCAAGCAATTCTACCAGAACTGTACTGCATACTCTGTACATACTGAATCAGCTAAAAACTGTACAACACCTTCCTGTCAATGATATCATTTATATTCTAAGTAGGTTGTTTATTTTAAGTTAAAAAGATTGAAAGCGTAATTTCAAGTGACCCTTCATGCAAAGATGGCAATGTCCGCTTTACAACGGTACCCTTTAGACCGAATGATCTGCTCAAATACAAATTAAATATTCATGTTTTTGTTTCTTTAAACTGATAATTTCATAAGCGGGGTCTCTGCAATAGTGACTTGCGTATTTCTTGCTTATAAGAGGGAATTAGGAAATTCGCAAAAATAATCACTTGTCGAGTCAGAAAATGAAAATATCTTCCACATTAAGATCTCAAGGGTACCGTTGTGAATCCGACTTCGCCATCATTGCATGGAGAGTTACTTGAAGTTACGTTTGCAGTCCTTATTAATTATAATAAAACAAAGTTAAATGAGACTGAAATCTTGCATGTTATCAATTTCCTACATTGAAATTGAAGTCGAATTAAATAAAATGCATAAAAAATAAAAAACTCTAGAAGTATAGTCTAACAAAATATTTAATAAAAAAATAGTTAAGGCATGATATTGAAAATAAAATATTAAAGGGCACCTATCTATAAGGAATATTTTGCATAGGTGCACTGGAGGGAGGGCCCAGTGTACCACCTGTACTGCAGGTATGTACAATGTATGACCACACTGTACACTGGATTTTATTGGATTATGCAATATAAGATGGTATAATCCCTATAGTGACAGGGTAATCCATTAATTCTGACATTTTATAAACTCTGCACTTGCACAGCTTTTGTAATACGAATGTATTGTAATATAACGATAAATTAAATAAATCTGAGGCCTAACCTAACCTAACCTATGGTTGGTTCCACTTAAAATTGTATATAATGTTTCAAGATTTAAGCCGGCGCTCAATTGGAACTGGTTTAAGCAGATTTGAGACGCAGCTCAAATTCATTAAATTCGAATTCTGATTCTAGGGTGCTAGATATAAAACTGGTTTCTGGTTTGATGACCCTCTACCACTTCCTTCTGGACCCCCTGGTAAGTTCAGGGCGGACCAATAAACATGGGTACAACATTAAAATCATCTTCAATATCTGGTATGTAATGAAGACTATACGCCACAAATTTACATCTTTGGAACCTGATGGTGAAAACCTTTTATATTTTAAACGTAGACTATTTGATCTAAAAGAATTCCTATAGTATGAAATATCTGTGGTCAACAATATTGAGTTGCAAATATATTGGTATAAGAAAACCAGAGTTTGTGGCAAAAGCACGTTCCTTTGGGATACAATACAATATTTAAAAAGTGCGTAAGGCTTTCTGGATTCAAATTTCAAAAAGATTATGTCGCAAATCTATTTTTAAAGTGCACCGAGTCATTTCAAGTTTAACTCTCAGATTTTCTGTAAATTAACACATATCCTATAATTTAAAAGGTTATGCTGATCGAGTTAGGTCGATGCAGCTTAGCACTATCAAAACAAAAAGTTTTAGCCTTAAAGGGACAGTAAGCGTATTTTGAAGTGACCTTCCATTTATAGAGTGGCATGTCCGATTTAAAAGGATACCCTTTAAACTTTTGTTTGAACAACATTGTCCGGACAAAGGTTTAAAGGGTACCGTTGTGAATCGGACATGCCTTTCTATAAAGGAAAGGTCAAATGAAATTACGCTTAAAAGCCCTTTAAATCAAATATATTGTTCCAGGATCAGAAGAAGGAAGAAGAACGATAGCTACAGATGGAACTTATCTATTTTTAACCGGATTAACAGGTGCAGACCAAGGTTATAATGCAAGGAAAGTTAATTGCAGTTGCGTATACTCTGCGTACATATTGAACACGTTGAAACCAGTTCTCTCTGGGCGAAATTTGTAAACAAGAATAGAAGCACCAGTGTTCGTTTACTATCCAAGGTTGATAAAAGCATTCAATTTTGATAATTCACATAGTAGTTTCCTATAACCAGAATATTTTATTGATTTTTGATGTGACAGATGAATCCCATGTCACGCTTCGACATCCGTCTTGTGTTTACATTACCGCCCAGAGACAATACACTGCAGTACAAAAGTTGCGTACACTTCTGAAATAATTATAATTGAATATATCACTCTCCACTAAACCCCACTATTTCTTCGGTCAGTGTACTGCAAATCACTGCAGTATATATATATCGAAAGCTTATAGTTGAGGGTGATCCACTGATTAAAATTTACAAAAATAAATAAAAATTGTTACAAAAAAGCCATGTATTTTAAAAATTTCTGACCCCAAAATCTTACTTAAAATGAAACTGAAAGTTTTGTCAAAATTTGAACATAATTTGACTAAATATTCTTATTTTTATCTAATAATTTGTTAAACCAAAAATCGAACCTATACATATTCAACTTATTATCTTAACAATATTTAACAAAAAATCTTCCTTTTATTTATCAAAAATATAACCTAACTTCAACTACATTCGACAAAAAGGTTTAACCATTTATTTGATCAAGAATCTTTTTGGAAGACTTTTATTTACATACAAGTCCCCAAGTTGTAATATGAATAAGATCAATTCAAAAGTAATATGTATTAATGATCAAAAAAGAAAATTAAACTTTTATTAAAGAGTTGATAGTAAATGTTTAGAATTTCCCCATAAAGAGATTGTCGACGTAAATTTAACTTATAAGTTATCATATACTTTAAAGGGACATGTCGGATTCACAACTGTATCCTTTAAACCTTTGTTATCGAGTTATCGAGTTATTCCTGTTTCTCTATCTACAATTTGTTGTTGTTGCTATTTTCTATAAAGTGATAAAAAGGAAATTAAAAGTATTTTCTAGACAGACAAACAACGTTGCAGCCTATACATTGTACGGTTGTGCTTCAGGCCCGGCATGCAACTTTTTAGATTTAGGGTCACTTGAAATAATGTTAAAGGCCCTTTATGATCGAAAATGTATATGTAGTTTAAAATAAAGCGTACTTGCATAGGCTGTGGTTTAGCTAAGCTGGGGTCAGGACTGAACGGAACTTTTCAAGGATTTATCTACTCTATCAACACAGATTTAGGACAGGTAGGACATCCAGTCAAAGGGGTTCAAGATTAAGGACAGATAGGACATGAAGAACAAGGTGATCAGGTTAAAGATTTAGGATAGGAAGGACATGCAGAACAAGGGATCCGGGTTCAAGATTTAGGACAGGAAGGACATGCAGACTAAGGGGGCTGGGTTTGGGAGTCAATTATATTGTTGGCTAGTTGTTATTCAGTTTAAGAAATCTGTTATCTCTAGTAAAGCGCCGTTTGAATTGAATTAAAGAAAGAGGGTGAATTGACATTAACCTAATTTTCTGGGAGAAGAGGTCGTTAACTTCAGAAAGTAAAAATGATAGAAAACATATTTTCAGGGTTTTATCAGCTTGGCAGACGGGGTTCTTCTGCATAAGAGCCTAGACCAAGAAAAACAAGGTTTTTATCAACATATAAATCCTCGAACTTTTTGCGCATTTATTTTTAACATTCCAGGATTTTCAAAATATAGCACATATCCTTTTTCTTAATCACTCGATATAAAAGTTGTTAAATATAATTTTAAAAAATAAAAACAATTTTTTGCAAATTGGTTTTTATATTTTTACGTTTTTTTTTAAAGAGTTTAATTGTCTCATCAAAGATCTCTTATATACAATGTTAACTATATTATATATAAATATATATATATGAGTATAAATTACATAAATCAGGGAACTGTGAATACTTAGCAACAGTGATCAACCCTGACACTCTAGAGGTCAAAACAGAATTGACGCAGTCTGCCTGCCTTCAGGTAATTGACGCAATTCAAACAAAATTACACAACAAATATATGATAATGACGCAGCGTTAAAAATTTAAAATGGAAAGTATTCTTTTCTGTTTCTTTTTAATAATTTTCAACTATGAAGGTTTAATGAAAGTTTAGTCATGCTTTTTTCATTGAAACGAATTTCTATTTGACTTTGGTATGATCAGAAAACAACAATTTTGCTTTTAGCCAGTTTTTACTCTCATATGCGACCTGATAAGTGAAAATACATTTTGTGAAAACTCTGAAATGTGCTTTAGATTTTTTGCAGAATTATACACCAAATTGAATATATTTACAATACATACAAAAGAAAATTAAAACTTTTTTCTGTTCTTTTCTCATTTTTAACAAATTTAGATTGAAGCTGGGTCCGCGGTGACCATAAACTTGATTTCTAATGGGATGGAATTTTACTGGATTAGGTACATTTTCTGTAATTTTCTGTAATACCTAATCATTACTGAATTATACAGAAAGTACAGGAGATTAGTTAACGACCTAATCCCTGCTGTACATTAGATTAGTATAAGACCTATTGACTGCTGACTGATACAGAGAGAACAGAAGATTAGTTAACAATCTAATCTCTGGTGTGTAAGAGATTAGTAGAAGCCCTGAGATATGTTGAGAACAGGAGATTAGTTAACAACCTAACCCCTGGTGTGTAATAGATTAGTAGAATCCCTGATATATATTAAGAACAGGAGATTAGTTAACAACCTAATCCCTGGTGTGTAAGAGATTAGTAGAAGCCCTGTGAGTTGAGAACAGGAGATTAGTTAACAATCTAATCCCTGGTGTGTAAGAGATTAGTAGAATCCCTGATTTACATTGAGAACAGTAGATTAGTTAACAACCTAATCCCTGGTGTGAAATAGATTAGTAGAAGCCCTGAGATACGTTGAGAACAGGAGATTAGTTAACAACCTAACCCCTGGTGTGTAATAGATTAGTAGAATCCCTGATATATATTAAGAACAGGAGATTAGTTAACAACCTAATCCCTGGTGTGTAAGAGATTAGTAGAAGCCCTGTGATACGTTGAGAACAGGAGATTAGTTAACAACCTAATCCCTGGTGTGTAATAGATTAGTAGAATCCCTGATATACGTTGAAAACAGGAGATTAGTTAACAGCCTAATCCCGGTGTGTAATAAATTAGTAGAAGCCCTGAGATATGTTTAGAACAGGAGATTGGTTAACAACCTAATCCCTGGTGTGTAATAGATTAGTAGAATCTCTGAGATATGTTGAGAACAGGAGATTAGTTAACAACCTAATCCCTGGTGTGTAATAGATTAGTAGAATCCCTGAGATATGTTGAGAACAGGAGATTAGTTAACAATCTAATCCCTGGTGTGTAATAGATTAGTAGAATCCCTGAGATATATTGAGAACAGGAGATTAGTTAACAACCTAATCCCTGGTGTTTAATAGATTAGTAGAAGCCCTGAGATATATTAAGAACAGGAGATTAGTTAACAATCTAATCTCTGGTGTGTAATAGATTAGTAGAATCCCTGAGATATGTTGAGAACAGGAGGTTAGTTAACAACCTAATCCCTGATGTTTAATAGATTAGTAGAAGCCCTGAGATATATTGAGAACAGGAGATTAGTTAACAATCTAATCCCTGGTGTTTAATAGATTAGTAGAATCACTGAGATATATTGAGAACAGGAGATTAGTTAACAACCTAATAGATTAGTAGAATACGAATATTTTGTTAAGGGCCATCAATACAAATGTGGAGAACGGAATGAGTTCTCCTTTTGCGTACATTATCATCCTAGATGTATTTACTGTTGATAAGAACAGTTATGCAGTTAAGGTAAGGACTTTTTTATTAATATTGGGCCTTCTGAGACATATCATTTTTGTTTTTAGAACACAAATATGACAATCTTGCCACTCGAAGGTGTCCCTCAGTGTCGGAATTTAATCCGACTCTTTCTGTTGAAAAAAATTGGAACTCAAATTTTATTTTTAAATTTCAAAACATAAAACTTTGATAGTCAGTTTACAGAGCACAATTAAAATCTTCAGAAATGTTTAAAAATGGGTAAAAACTAAAAATACAATTATTTAGACACTATTTCCCCCAAACATACTGAACGGTCCCTTTTGTTTAGGTTACCAGACCAAGGGTTGTCCTGAGTAAACGTGAAGAACCAGGTTTAAAGCTCCAGGGTCTAGAACATATTATTAGGTAGGGTTGCAAAAGTAATTCTAAGTGACCCTTCTATGCAAAGATGGCCTTTCCAGATTCACAACGGTACCCTTAAAAGCGTCGTCCGATCCAGTAGGATTTGAATACAATGTATGTAATTTTGCAAACTAATTTTTAATTGTGGTGGTTTCTTTATACACAAGTGACTTGCGTATTTCTACTGCATGTAAGAAATATCATAATTAAATCTTATTAAACCTACAAAAACGATAATATCCTCCACATTTTTGATCGGTTAAATATTTCAATTGTATCGTTGAGGATCAGACATTGCCATTTTTCCACTTGAAATCATGCTTACATCGGGTCTAAGTGAGCCTTCCATATTTCAAAAAAGACAATGACATCATCTATGAAGTAGATGATTAAAAATATTTGACCTAATTAAAAACATTTCAAAAATACGCCATTGTATTATAATTCATAATCTTTTCATGAACTAAATCCTAAAAATAATAAAGGGAGGGGGGGAGGGGTTAAGATAACAAAGAAACTTTTAAAAGACAAAAAAACCTAATGTTTTTTTTCAGTAGAAAATCCAAACCTTTGCGCCGCTCTTCAGCAGTAGATATAGGTAGCTATAGCATAATTAAATAATATTTTACCTTTTTATAAACAGTAAGCACCACTGAATTTATAAGTTTCCACTCCTGGTATTTTCAAGTTTTGACTTCTAGAATTTATGAGTTTCGACTTCTAGAATTTATAAGTTTCAACTCCTAGAATTTATAAGTTTCGACTCCTAGAATTTATAAGTTTCAACTCCTAGAATTTATAATTTCGACTTCTAGGATTTATAAGTTTCGACTTTTCGAATTTTTATGTTTCGATTCCTAGTATTTATAAATTTAGACTCCTAGAATTGTTTTTTAGATCCATCAGTATCCGTTCCTCAGACTGAGTCTAGCACTGCAGCCTCAGTAGCAAACCTAGCTAGAATCAGCGCTAACCTAGCTCGTGTTAGCTCTAGCTCAAGCTCAAACTCTTCTAGTACCTCAACTCAACCAGTGCAGGTGGCTCCAGGAGCAGCTAACTCAACCAATCCTGCAAAAGTAATTATCTGATTTTTTCTTGCATCTCCCATATCGGTGGTCTCACGCTCAACAATCAAAATGATCTATAAAAACAATCTTAAATTCTTAAAAGTTTAAAAAAGATGTTCACAGGCCAAATTTTCTTATTTTGAAACCCACAAATAAAAATGCATCTCAATAGTTTTAAAAACAATACCACTGATAAAAGGGGGGAAGCCCTCAATATCACAAAGTATTATAAAAGTTGATACTTTTTAGGACACAAATTCAACTTCTCTTGGTATATCTTACAAGACACTTGTTTCTACACCAATGCTCACATGTGGAACATTCATTACAATCCTGAGGTGAGTCAATTAAACAAGTTTGGATTTTAAATAATAATTTTATGTTTAGTCCTGTAGTGAACAGCCAAAGTGCTGGAGCTCAAATAGCTCGAAGTTTGTTGGGAGGAGGGAACCCTGGGGCATCCAATAGAGTTCTAGCAACCTCTCAGTGCTACTCTACTAGGAACATTTTATTTAAAAATTATTAAGACAAAACAACCTGAGCTAAAAACTTTAGAATGAGACCTTAATCCCGATTAGTAAATTAATCGGGAAATTAATAACAAGAGGATAACAAGCATTATTTAATCTGGATATTATGAAAAAGAGGAGATCAAGCATTAATCTCGATATCCATCATTCTAAAGTTTTTGGCTCTGAGATGAAAACTTTAGAATGTGATATCCTTAATCCCGACCGGTTAATTAATCTGGAGATTAAGTTCATGAGGAGTATAAGCAATATTTAATCTGGAGATTAAGAAAAAGAGTGGATTAAGCATTAATCCTGATATCTACCGTTCTAAAGTTTTCAGCTCTGATCGAACTATTTTATCTCTTTTTCTACTTTGTTACCCTTAAACTTTCATTAAATAGAACGATTTAAACAGTTATTTTAAGAAGGTCTCGATCTTTTGATCAATATTTATAATTTCAGTTTTTGTGTGATTTAAAAATATGAATTTGAAGTACGTTTAAATACGAAGTGTAAATAAAATAAAATAAAATTTTCATGAAAATGTAGAGATGGACAGTTTAGCAGCAAACATGATTTCTCAGACTGTATTAATTCATCCCTCGGTCGTGGTGGAACTCTATCAGATTTTGCGACAGTTTTTGACACAGTCAACAACTGCATTTGGGGTGCTACAGGCGACCACGTGGATCAGTTCAGTAACCCTGGACATCAAGCTCCGGCTTTTATTGCAAGAAAACTGGGATTCCCGGAGGAAAGTACTCAAGCACAGACAAAGAAGGGAAATTTGGCATCTACCCAGCAGATTTATGCAACACTACTGCGGCATGTCGGGCTTCAATGTTCCCATGCTGTTGCCTCTGAAAAAGTTGCGACATCATGCGCCGGGACCCTAGATTCTACACTAAATGAGAGGACCCAGGACTTAGCACACTTCCACAGGGTTCTCTTTTTATTGGAAGCTGCAGTATCTGAAGGTAGAGATGGGCACGTTTGACTCTTTTTCATTTCGTTCGTTCATCGTTCGTGAATGACGGATGTTTCATTCGTATTTTTAATAGTGTTTTATTCAGTAAAAATTATCGTTTTAAGATAGTTTGTTCCAAAAAATATGTTGTTTATGAAAAAACAATAGTTTTTTTTAACCAAATCATTGGAAAATCTTTAGTTCAGTAAAAAAACTTTGGTTTTTTAAAGTTCGTTCAAAAATCATTAGTTTAATTTTTTGTTCATTTTAAAAAAACGATACATTTTTCATTTCTCTGAACAATCCATTTTGGTTGTCCATCATTCGTTTTGTTTTCTGAATGACAACCTTTTTTTCGAAAAATTTGGTTAGTTCTTAAAAATTTCGTTCGTAAAAAACGATGCCCATCTGACCGAAGGTGATGGGACCAGTATATCCTGCCTTCTTGTATCCCTACAGGCTTTCTTCAACAGAGATAGAAGCTGGGCGGAGGAGCTAGAAAAGTCTAGAATAAAACAGTTGCAAGAGCTGCTCTGGAGCATCATTGACAATTATGAGAAATTTTCTTATAGGTAAACATCACCTGAAGAATTTTAGCTGCTAAATTTAACAATCTAAAAGAGATACTAACAAAATGTTCCCTAAACTCCTAAACCCCCCCCCCCTCAAAATAAAAGAGTTATTCCCCCACAGATTTATTTTTGCCATAAAACGTTCAATTTTTAAAATAATAAAAGCAATCTGAAGTTAAAATGTTTTGCGAGGAAACTTTTTGCGAAGGTGAAATGTTGTAGAAGGAAACCTTTTGTGGTAGAAACATTTGTGAAAGGAAAGTTTTGTGGTTGGAATATTTAGCAGGAAAAAAATTTGTGGACAAAATATTTTATTGAGAAACTTTTTGTAGTTCTTCTGTTCGGAGAACTTTTTTGGGGTTGAATCCAAAACTTTTAAGGGTTTTCTAAATTTAAATTTTCAAATAACTGATATTTGTTCTGCAGGATATCTCTAGAGGCTTGTAGAACACTGCTGAGTGCTATAAATATGGTGTATCCGTCCTTACAGGTTCAAGAGGAGCTAGTTCTTTCTCTTTTAAACCAGGATACATCTCAGCTCAGGTATCTATCCTTGCAGGTTCAAAAGAAGCTAGTTCTTTCTCTTCTAAACCAGGATACATCTCAGCTCAGGTATTCATCCCAACCAGGAGGAGCTATTTTTCCTCTAAACCTGGATACATCTCAGCTCAGGTATCAATGCCTGCAGATTTAGGAGGAGCTAGTCCTCTTGAAAACAAGAATTCATTCAGATTATCATTTCTGATTGTTAGATTTTAGATTTTTTGTTTAGATTCAATTATTCATTTCTTGAATTTTCAAATAGGACACGATTTACATTCTATGTACATCCTTCATATCATCAGTTTCAATCATTGATTTATACTCACATTAGGTGTTATCTATCTATCCTATCCTTCTTTCCTATTGATTTGTCCCTCTCTTCTCCTCCTTGCTCTAGGTATGTTTCCGTCTCCTAGTATTCTCTCCCCTGTTCTATTGATCTTCTCTCTCCTCTCCGTCCTTCTTAATTACATTGATCCATGATAGACCTGCACTACGGAATAGAGGACACTATAACCCAACCTTACTCCAGCCTCATTCCATCCTTACTTAATCAATCCTTACTTAATCCAACCTTGCTCATTCCATCTTTACTCATTCCATCCTTACTCTATCCATCCTTACTCATTCCTTCCTGACTCAATTCATTTTGTCTCATTCAATTCTTACTCAATCCATCCTTACTCAATCCATCCTTATTCAATCCATCCTTACTCAATCCATCCTTACTCACTACAACCTTTTTCATTCCATCCTTACTCAATCCAACCTTACTCAATCCATCCTTACTCAATCCAACCTTACTCAATCCATCCTTACTCAATCCATCCTTACTCAATCCAACCTTACTCATTCCAACCTTACTCAATCCAACCTTACTTAATCCATCCTTACCCAATCCATCCTTACCCCATCCATCCTTACTCAATCCATTCTGTCTCATTCCATCCTTACTCAATCCATTCCATCCTTACTTAATCCATTCTGTCTCATTACATTCTTACTTAATCCATCCTTACTTAGTCCATCCTTACTCATTCAATCCTTACTTATTTCATTCTTACTTGTTCCATCCTCATTCATTCCATCCTTACTCAATCCATCCTTACTCAATCTATCCTTACTCAATCCAACCATACTCAATCCAACCTTACTCAATCCAACCTTACTCAATCCATCCCTACCCAATCCAAACTTACTCAATCCAACCTTACTCAATCCATCCTTACCTAATCCATCCTTAGTCAATCTATCCTTACTCAATCCAACCTTACTAAATCCATTCTTACTCAATCTATCCTTACTAAATCCATCCTTTCTTATTCATTCCATCCTTACTTAATCCAACCTTTCTCATTCAATCCTTACTCAATCTATCCTTACTCATTCCATCCTTTCTCAATCCAACCTTACTCAATCCATCCTTACTCAATCCATCCTTATTCAATCCATCCTTACTCAATCCATCCTTACTCATTCCATCAATACTCAATCCAACCTTACTCAATCCATCCTTACTCAATCCATTCTTAATCAATCCATCCTTACTCAATCCATCCGTAACTCAATCCATCCGTACTCAATCCATCCTTACCCAATCCATCCTTACTCAATCCAACCTTACTCAATCCATCCTTACTCAATCCATCCTTACCCAATCCATCCTTACTCAATCCATCCTTACTCAATCCATCCTTACTCATTCCATCAATACTCAATCCAACCTTACTCAATCCATCCTTACTCAATCCATCAATACTCATTCCATCAAAACTCAATCCAACATCTACTTTTTACTCTATAGGGGTTTGGTCCACCACCATCACTGAATTTTAAACTCAATCCATCCTTACTCAATCCATCTTTACTCAATCCAACCTTACTCATTCCATCCTTACTCTATTCATCCTTACTCAATCCATCCTTCCTCAATTCATTCTGTTTCATTCAATCCTTACTCAATTCATCCTTACTCAATCCATCCTTACTAAATCCATTCTGTCTCATTCAATTCTTACTCAATTTATCTTTACTCAATCCATCCTTATTCAATCCATCCTTACTAAATCTAACCTTACTCACTCCAACCTTACTCATTCCAACCTCACTCAATCCAACCTCACTTAATCCATCCTTACGCTATCCATCATTACCCAGTCCATCCCTACTCAATCCATCCTTATTCATTCCATCCTTACTCAATCCAACCTTTCTCATTCCATCCTTACTCAATCTATTTTCACTCAATCCATCCTCACTCAATCCATCCTTATTCATTCCATCCTTACTAAATCTATTCTTACTCATTCCATCCTTACTCTATCCACTTATCTCTTATATTCTCTTATTTTTTCTTCATATTTTCTCATAGTGTTTCAAATTTTCTCACAGTTTCTCATGTTTTCCTATATTTTCTCAGGGTTGATCTTGGAAACATGATTCTGGAATGGTTTACTCAAGAACTAGAGGCTCCGGGTACTCAACCCAACAGGAACGAATATTACAAGTCTTATTAATCAAACTTTATTTTGAAATTAAAGGATAGTCTTTTAAAATGTTAAAATTAAAAACCCTAAAGAAACGAGGACTGAAATAATGTAAATATCTCTGGGTGCAGATTAAGGCAGATGCTCGGACGAATGAGATTAAACTCCTGCATCATCTCACTTCTCACTCTCTCAACACAGAAAACCATCTCTTTGATTAGGCAAGTTCCAAGGGAGGGGGGGGATTGAAACATTTGATACAATTTTAAGTGGAACCAACAATATTTAAGCCGCGGCTTAAATTTAAACCGCCGCTCAAATTCTTTAAATTCGGCTACAGGTTGTAGAGATATAGGATATTAGAAAATTGAGATTTGTAGTAAAGACTCAATTCCTTTAATGCGGAATTTTAAGTGACCCCATATTACATATTACTGGTAATAACTCATAATTGAGAAATATATTTTCTATGTTTTCGAAAAATCCACCGATAAAAATTTTGTTTTATTTTAAAAAATGCATTACACAAATCAAACGATACAATTGTATTGTAAGGAAATGAATTTTTATTACTATTTATAATTTCTATGCGTTTAGGTCTTTTTACCTTTGTGTTCAGGACCGGAAGTATTGAAGATGTCGGACAGCTTTGTGCTGGGGCTCCACAACTGTCACCAGCTGTCAAATATACAGCCACCGTGGTTAACACTGTTCTTAGGTAGACAACTTCTCAGTTATTCCTTTATTTATTTATCCATTATGAACTCAACCTTTAATGGTTATGGGGTGCAAGGGAGTCTAAAAAGTATGTCGGGAAAATGTTCAAAAATAATTATTTCAAATTTTTAAAAATATTAATATGTGACACATTTTGTCATATTTTTTCAAGGGCTTTTCAAAAATATAAATTTTTTCCATGAAACTTATTAAAAAAAAGATATTTAGCATTTCTGATTTTTTGGAAACACCGTTTAACTGTCCTCCACCCTATACCCTTTGCATTAAAATAAATCCGATTTTTATGGAACGAAAATTCAACAACATTTCGCAAAAATGGACGACAAAGTTTTCGCGAAAATGAGGTAAAAAATTTCGTCTAAGTACATCGAAATTCGGAAAAACTTTGAATTAAACTGAACGAATTACGTTCGTTCATTTTCACGGATTTCGTTCAACGAAAATTTCGTTGGAAACCCTAGTTCTCACGTCAAAGTGAATTATACGATAGATTTAAACTTTACTTTATCTTAATCATAACTCTTAATCATAAAGAAAATAACAAATAAAAAAGTCGTGTCAATAAATTCGCAGATTTTTTATCTTTTTCTTATTTCTGGATTTCTATCCTTATCTATACACAGACTAGATTTAATGAATGGCGAGACTAGGGTTTCCAGCGAAAAGGAAAAATGGTTTCGCGACATTTTCGCATTTCGTTCGCTCGCGAAAATTTTCCCTTAGAAGAAAGAATTTTTAAATGTCGTTTTCTCAACCTACAGATAATGAAATTCTGCAGATATTTAGTTTTTTAATTGAATAATTATATTGAGCTCTTTAAAACTGTTCCTGCATATTTAATGACTATTTATTTATTTTTACAGTACAGGGTGTCCCAAAAAACATGGGAATTCAGTGACGAATTCGATATCGTCTTTTCAAATAGATCTTTGATTTAGTATAGTGATACCTACTGAGAAAGCTGTAATCTGTAAGAGTTTCGTCTGCTATGTTTACATTTTGTTTGTTTATGTTTTGACTGCATACGGTTGTACTTAGTAAAACAAGAAAATTACAGTATACAAACAGAGTAAACTTGTCCGTATTCACTGTTCATCTTGCGGAGACATTATAGACACATCTTTACAGTCTTTTACCCTTTTCATAAAATAAACTCTAGCAGACATAATAATATTATGGCTTTTGAAATTAGGTATTACAATGCTAATTCATAACAAAGACGATATCGAATTCGTCGCTGAATTCCCATGTTTTTTGGGACACCCTGTAGTATAAAACCGAATGATAAATTGTCAAGACGACATTTTATAAATTCTATCGATGTTTCCCAAGTTCTGGGTTAAACTGTATAAAATCAATTCTCCTGTTTAGTAACTGTTTGGTGGATGAGGATGGGGATGAGGATATACAAGATCTTCTCCGGGAACTCATCCAACTTATTCTTGATTCATCTTCATCCATTATAGATCATCTACTTACAGAAATACAGGTCTTTATATTCATATCAATTTACGGATTTAAATGTAGACCGATGTTATTTGACCCTAGACCTAAATATACCTAAATATTTGATAAACACAGAGAAATTCTAAAATCTTTATCTCTGATAAATTATGTGGAAGATATCATCATTTTACTAGATTGAAAAGTGTTCAATTCTGACACTTTCCACCATTGATTCTATTTTTATTGACAATTTCCCTAAAATATCGAATATTGAATATTATGTTACTTAATATAGTAGCTCGGGAACCCAGCTTTGACTGGAGTTTTCCACAATAAAAGTAAATGGCCACTCAATTTTAATAAAGTTTTAAACAAGGCTCAGAACATTTCCGTGGTTCAACAAGTTCTACAATCAACATTTTAGGCCTATCGGTTAAGGGGTTCCTCAGTCATGATTGGACATCAAAACAGACAAAGAATACTCATTTATATGTACCCAAGCTAAGAACATTCCCGTTGTTTTACCGAGTTACCCCATCTAAATTTGAGGCAAATCAGTCAAAGGGGACATGAGTTATTACCGTAATTACAAACAAACAGACACACAGTGATAACTACTTTATATACATACTTGCTACACAAGGTTTCCCAGATTACTCATAGTTACTTCCTCCGTTTACCCGCACTTGATTGTAAATTACGATTTTAACTATTTTTCTGATAAAAGTCTACCCATTCTACTTAGAATCGTTAAATTAAGCTAAAAACATTCCCGTCGTACTACCAAGTTTCCCAATTCAAATTTGAGACTAATCGGCGAAGGGGTTAATGAGTTATAATCTGAAAAACATACATACAGATAATGATTACAACTTTATATAAATAGATATATATCAGTATATGTACGTACATAAAATATACTGTAAATGTTCTGCTTCAGGAGATGGTTTCAACTGACTCTGGTTGTTTACGATTAAAATATCTGAACAGGGTTCTCCAGGGTTCAATACTTGCTCTAGTTTTACTCCCAACACTCACTTGCCTCACTCAAATCGTTTCCCAGGTGAGTTAAAAATGACAAAATTTGACAATTCTCTAGAGCATAAATCCGCAAGTTTTTTTTTTGAAAAATCTCAAGATTTGACATTTTTATACAAAAATATTGTAAAAAGAATGCTTAGGCTGAAGATAATATTGACTACAGTGAGACCCACTAAACTGTGGAATAGGAAAATGACTGTTAGATTTAAATTATGGGGTTGAAGGGACAAATGAATTGTAGAGTGTACACAGATCCTTCTCAATTTAAAAGTTGATTTTCAAGATGCTAGTAAAATATTTGCTTGAAAACAACATTTATACACAAAAGATTGTTTAAATGTTGTTATCCTTTTACAAAGAAGGTATGGGTATCAGTGCACCTAGTACTTTACGGTTTCTTTTTGGTTGAGAATTCCTCTTTCAAGAAATGTTCTTAATCAAATCTGCAGTATTGTGAGCCGAACAAAAGGAATAACACTCGAAAGAGGGAAAATAAGGCGAGTTGGCAAGGAAAACACTCTTTTCTACCAGACACAGATAGATGATAACTTCTTGAAAATGTATATTTCAGTAACGAGGTTTCCTACAAAATACAAATTGTTATTGGCGTACATGCATATAAATAATAATTTTTAATAAAGATTAAACAGTTGAAGGTTTTTTTTATTATCAATAAATGAGTATAGGAATTCTAGGTCTTGTAGGTTTAGTAGGATTGGAGATTTTAGGTTTAGTGGGTTTAGCAGGATTGGGGATCATATTTTTTTTGCTGTTGTAAATCGATAAATAAAGGGTTTAAAGGCACTGTTGTGAACTGATTAATAAAAGGTTTAAAAGGTACTGTTGTGAATGGAACTTACAATCTAGAAAACTGTGTTGGGTCGAAAAGTTGTTTGTACAGAAGTCTAAAGCAAATTTAATTCTTCTGAAAATAAATATTTCGTCTGATTAAATAAGTTCACTATTTGATTGCAAATGATTCACTGAAATTATGTTTAAATGGGTTCTTTTAATGCACTTAAAGTTTTATTAGCTCCATGCGGCTGTTGTTTACGTTTATGCAAAATCCTTGGCAAGGTTTGGTTTGGTGAGTGGACGGAGTATATTCAACGGAGGTACAGTTTGTCGGAGACGACCTTTACAACAGGGGAAATTTGAGGGATATGGTTCACAAGTATCTATTCAGAAAATTTTAATTTTTAGGGAGATGAATGTGAACATTGTAACATTCCTGTGCTTGTCGGTTTACTTACAAGGTCAGTTTTATTCTACATCATAAAACAAATTGTTTCGCAGATTTACCCAAATCCTTTTGCAATGATGGGTTTGTAACATTTCAAAAGTCGATCTTTTTTTTCTTTTTTTCCCTTTATACTTTTTGCCTAGTTTTATCTATTCTTATACTTTGCTTGTCTGTCTGTTTGTATCCAATAAACGTCAAAACACCTAAAGCGATCGGGCCCAAATTTTTTTTTTGGGACTTCACATGGACCCAGAGAAAATTTATGGAGGCTCAAAACTACAAAAATTTGTGTCCAAATGTTTTTGTGTTTTGTAAAATTTTAAAAATGTGCAAAAAAATATTTCTAAACATGCGAACTTTTTTTGTTTTTGTTTTATATTGTACAAAGCGAAAATCATCCCAGATAGAGCCACAATTAAAAGTTGAAATGGAAGATAGGCACGAAGCGCACTAACATTATAAAACTAAAGTTAACTTTTACAGAACACAAATGAACCTTCACAATTGTTTAAAGTATTTATGAGGTGCCTTTTGAAATTCCAAAACTAGAATTTAAAAAAAACGTTTTATTTACGACTTTCTGTGTCTTACGTTTAATCAGAGCCAGGGAGTAAAGGGGGGGGGGGGGGTTCAGTACTCAGTACACACCCGTGTTAAAGTGCATAAAGTTTCAATTTTTATGTGTCAGTGAATCCCTCTTTTTGGCTTAACTTTTAAAGAGCTTGTCAAGTTACCGCGGTCAAATTTATTATAAATATATCATATATGTATATTTTTATTACGAACTTTTCATTTTAGTTTTCTAATTGAGTTTTTTCTTCTATATTTTCAGATGCTGTAAGGTTAGCAAGATCTACCAAGATAATATAAAGGTATCTGATATTTTTTAATTTTATGATAATAGAAAAAATGTTAATATTATGCGCAAAAAATGATTTGAATTTATTTTTAAAAATTAAATAAAAAATTAAAATGAAAAGTATTCAATACATTAATAATCTGTTACTTCAAATAGATGAAGAATCCCTTTAATAATCTGTTATTTCAAATAGATAAGCAATACCAAGGGTGTAATGCAAGGATTAAAAGCATTAAATTTTGATAATTTTGATAATTCACATAATAGTTTCCTATGACCAGAATATTTCATTGATTTTTTTTATGTGAAAGATGGATCCCATGTCAGGCTTTGACATCCGTCTTGTGTTTACATTACCGTCCAGAGACAGTACACTGCAGTACAAAAAATGTGTACACTTCTCTGAAATAACTTTCCTTGCATTACATCCTTGAGCAATAATCTGTAATTTCAAATAGATGAACAATATCTTTAAATATTTGGATCTGTTTAGAAAGGTGAGCCTGGACTCGAAATACCTAAACAAGTTGACGATGGAATTCTTTCATCAGTTCGTATACCAACTCCTTGGACCATAGGACGAGTTCTTGAAAGTCCTCATCCCCTAAAGGTAATAAGGTTTTCTCCTTAGAAAGGGACTGTAAGTGTAATTTCAAGTGACCCTCCATGCAAAGATAGGAATGCCCCATTACTACGGTAACCTTGAAACCTTAATCTGATCAAAAATGTGGAAGATACCATTTTTTTCTGGTTCAAAAAGTGTTTATTTTTAGGAATTTCTCTATTGTTTCTCATAAGCAAGGCATATCCAAGCGACTTTTACAGAGAAATCACAAATGCAAATAAACCATTTAAACCTTAAGATAATAAGATATCTTTATATCCTCAAACACTAAAGATAATTGGGATCAATATGTATCCTCATCCTCTCAAGATAATAAGGGATTAATATCTCCACATCCTTTCAAGATAATAAGGGATCAATTAATCCTCATCCTCTCAATATAATAAGGAATCAATATATCCTCATCCTCTCAAGATAATAAGGGATCAATATATCCTCATCCACTTAAGAAAATAAGGGATCTATATCTCCTCATCCTCTCAAGATAATAAGGGATCTATATATCCACATCCTCTCAAGATAATAAGGGATCTTTATGTCCACATCCTCTCAAGATAATAAGGGATCAATATATCCTCATCCTCTCAAGATAATAAGGGATCAATTAATCCTCATCGTCTCAAGATAATAAGGGATCACTGACGAATATGATCAATTATACCTTATTTGTTGTCTTAAAATCAGGGCTCTTCATCGTTCATTTTATTTAAGTCTTATTCTAAAAATCCACAAACATTTTTATCTCAAGAAAACTACATTTTTCCTGAAGAAATGCGCTTTATTTGTTCAACGCAAGCATTGGAGAATTAAAAAATTAATTTTGAAGATTAAGAAGATAATAATAAAAATTGGATTTCAAATGACAAGTTTTCCCAATTTTAAATATCTAAAAATTATTTCCTTAAATTGAACGGAAAACAGGAAAAAAGAGAAAAATTTCGCTCCGCGCAAATGTTTGTATGTTGGAGTAAAAATATTTTTTGAAGAGAATTAGAAAATGATATAAATAATATATATATATATAATACCCTGGGACCCTGTACTGTACTGTACTGTACTGTGTTGTGAGTAAGAGTTGTTTTTAATTCTAACAGAGTTTTGTTGACTGTTCCTTTAAGCCTTTCTCTGTTTTTAGGATAATTACAAGTTGAAGGAAACTGTACAGATTCCAGGAGCTAAACTTCTCTACATTAGGTATTTATGTACTGCACTGTACAGCGTACAGCTTATATTATACAGTAAGACTCGTAAAACTGTGGAAAACGAATGTTGAACTCAATTTATGATTTTAAACATTCCAACAAAGAAATTGTTAGGATCGAGACCCTATTCACTTGATAAGTTTATTTTCAAGCTACTGATAAAACTATAGGTTTATAAAACATGAAAAACATAATAGATTGCTCTCATGTTTTCTTCCTATTCCACAGTTTTATGGGCCTAACTCATCTCACTGTAAACTGCCTTGTCGTACAATTGAATCAGGGGAATTCACCCCCCCCCCCC